AAAAATCGGCTCAGAGGAGTCATCAGCTGTAGTCAAGCATAATAAGTCACAAACACTTAAGAGGCCATGAATCTGATTAATACAACTTTCTACATCACATAAACTGATAACTCAAGTCACTGTATGTACGTTTTTGACCGACAGGTATCCAAGGAACCAAAAATGCTTGATTGTATTTACGTCGTGTTTCAATGATTCAGTCACAGAAATTAAGAGTTATAGGCATCAAAAACTCAAGACAAGTGCATGTCAACTGTAAACCTTTGATTAACTATCTTGTAGGTAACATGTGTGAGCTACTGGAGGCTTTAAATTCCTCCAAGGGGATGGTTAAGGATCTATATGTGTGTATATTCTTGTAAAAAAAACCCAAAAACAACACAGAAGTTTATTAAATATGTCAAAATATTGCATTTAAACACCACACAACCACTTCTTTTTATTTCCTCCCGCATTTAAAATGATTGTAATACCATTTATTTCTTCGCATGATAACATTTAAAACATAAACTCCTCCTCAGCAGCAATAAATCAGCATATGTGGGCGCCTGTCGGCTGAGCGCTCAGAATTCCGAGCTTTCCCGGCGTCCCTGAAGGCGTCCCGAGCGTCAGTCCTCCACCCCTCGAGGAAACCCAGCGACATCCATCGGACTCGGCGGACTCTCGTGAAGCTTCTCCGCCGCCGCCGTCCCTCCGCCGTGCACCGTCCGCCGGGCCGCCACCGAGCTCCGGCGACCCTTCCGCCGCGGATTCCCTCCTCGACCCGGACCGCGGGAGCGATGCGACGCCTGGGAGGAGGAGGAGGAGACGAACCGGCCGGGCAGCAGCAGCAGCAGCAGCAGCAGACACCTGAGAGCAGCGTCTGAGTTTGTTTCACAGCGTCAACGGAAGGTAGGAGAGGGCGTGCGTGTCCGTCCTGCAGCCTCGCTCTTGTTTGTTTGTTTGTTTGCTTGTTTGTTGTTTATCGGTGTTGTGCCCGGGCTGGCTGGTCGTGTCCAGCGGCTCCAGCAGGCGGGCGGGCGGGCGGATGAGTCATCCCGGCGCAGGGCTGCTGCTGCTGCTGCTGCTGCTGGAGGAGCAGCGAGCCTGCAGCCTCCGGTCCGCCACCAGCCGCTGCACATGCAAACAGCCGCACCGCGTTCAGGCAAATCACCGCGTGCACCGTGCGCGTGTGGTTGGAAACAGTGTGGGCGTGCGTGCGTGTGTGTGCGTGCGCGACGCTTCACCTGGCTGGAGTGCGAGAGAAACACGGTCAGAATGGAGGCGGTGCATGAACAGAACCGGGTTTTTAAAAGTGTGTTTTGCAGCTTTAATGAAGGAGAATCAACTTTGTGTTTTAGTGTCAGTGAAGCTCCAGCTGTGATCTGAAGGTTCCAGATCCAAACATTTATCAGAATAAATCCTCAACTTGACAGAAAACCGTGACAGGATGCTTCAGCAGGCAGGAGTTGGTGTTGCAGTGAGAGTCAGAGGTGATGTGTTGGACTGGAGGAGTGTGTCTGTGATGGATGTGATGTTCCTCAGTTTGGGTTTGACCTGTTTTAGAAAATAAACCAAAGTGTGTGAGATGAAATAAGACACGAACGGAGAAGCGAGAAGTAAAACTGTCAATGATGTTGAGGTAGTTAAGTAATATTGCACCTAAAAAAACCAGAAATATTTCTTCTTAAACTGAAATATTCCACCTGAAAACCTCACACTGACTTATTGCGCATGAAAATGATCTAAAATCTAAAACATTGCACCTGAAAAAATGAAATGCAGCATCTGAAAACTAAAAACATGACACATAGAATGTAGATATTGTCCCTGAAAACAGAAATATTGTACATTAAATTGACATGTCGTGCATGAAACTCAAACATTGCGTGACGCGGCAGCTGATATTGCACCAACTGTTGAGAGGAGCAGTGCTGCAGATGGCAAGAGCAGAAGTAAAACTGTCGATGATGCTGAGGTAGTTCAGTAATATAACAGCTAAAAAAAATGGAAATATTGCACATCAAATTAAAATATCACACCTGAAAAATCTTACATCGATTTATTGCACGTGAAATCTAAAACACTGGAAAAATGAAATATAGCATCTGAAAACTAAAAATATGACCCATAAAGTGTAAATATTGTGCCTGTAAACTGAAATATTGTTCATTAAATTGACATGTTGCGCATGAAAATTAAATATTACTGATATTGCACCAACTGTTGAGAGGAGCAGGGTTGCAAATGGCATTAACACAATAACCACATCACACAGGATGATGAAATATTGCAAATTAAATTAAAATATTCCACAAGATACTAAAATTTTGCACCTGAAAAATTAACTACAATAAGTTGGCTTATTGTTTTTATTACTGTAACTGTTGCTGCACAAACGGTGGAGGACCGAGCAGAGCTCACGGCGTTGCTGCTCCGTTCGAGGCGTCTGATGTTGCAGCTGTGATTCCTGCACAACGAGGAGGAGTTCTAGGATTCGATGATTAAAAATAAAGAGCTCCCGCTGCGCTCCGAGGTCTCCGTCTGCAGCTGATGTGACGCCGCTGTGGCTGCAGGGGATCGGATACGACGGCATCCAGAGACTCCAGTCTGAGGACGGAAGCAGCTTGTTGAGTGCGTTAGCGTTAAAACGTGCGATGAAACATGTGGAGCCTGGTTCTGCTGGGTGGACGGCATGGTTACCAGCAGTTTCTGACAAAGTTTGAGCAGCGTTGGGTGTTTCGTAGAGGAGGTTTCTGTGTTTGATTCTAGCTTAAATGTTGATTTAAACTGATTTACATGAAATATTTACGTGCACAGAGAATCTTCTGATTATAAAACATTCAGTCAGGTGGTGGGATACAGGTGATTTGTGCAGATTGTGTTGTGCTCGGCTCTTCAGATTGAGGATGTTCGTCTGACGTTTATTATCTTAAACATTTTCCTGCATTTTCTACAGTGGATCTAACAGATTTCATAGACGGATCAACATGCTCGTATGAACCGAGCAGAAACAAGGACAGAAAGTTGAAATGTTGCAAACAAAAAAAGCGGAGGTGGAAAACCTGATGAGTCGATTAAAACCTGAATGCGACGCTGCAGTGAAAACTGAGTTTCAGAATAAATCATGAAACGTGTGAAACTTCTGCTCGAGACGAAACAAACGTTCTGACTGAAAACGTGAGTCGGTTGAGGTTTGGCTCCTGCTCCTCTGCAGAGGTTTGATGACGCTTGCTGCTGTTTTTCTGGATCTTTTGTGAAAACGTTGGCGTTGAACCTTTAATAAACTGGATTGTTTACGTGAATGAACGTCTTATGCATCCAGAACCGCTGACCCAACGCTGATTAATCCTGTTTGTGGTAAATCTCTCTGTATGCTGGAGGTTTTAAATCTGGTTCCCTGAGCTGGAGCAGAGCCGGTGATAATATTGAAGAAGTTTTCTTTGGCCGTGTTGGCATGTTGATGATTTTCTCCGCACTATGAAGCGATGCAGACTCTCAGCTGAAGGAAACCTGTTGAGCATGGCGCGCTGTGTGCATTGTGTTGCCATGGGAACCCACATGCATTTAGTTTGTGATGCTAAAAATGCACAAATATGTTTTTTTTGTTTGCTTGGTCCTGATTTGCTGCAGCCGACAGAACACAGATTATTCTGCTGGAGTTTATCACAGAGAGTATTCTATCAGTTGCATTGATTTCGCTCTGATTTGGCCAAAAACTAAAGAAATATCCTTCATTATGGGACAGAGTCAGACCTTAAGGTGCTTCGTGAGTGTCGTGTGCGGCTGCATTGAGAGTCACAGAGTGGGAAAATAAATATATGACACGATTAGCAGTTTTCTACCGGCGACCTTCTCGTGCGTCATTTGCAGAAACACTACCTAATACATTTAAATATTACTCATAACAGCCGTTTTCTTTTGACTGATGGGATGCAGTCGGCGCATTTTGTGCAGAAAAACACTCAGTTTCATAAAAATCACACCCAGAGCCTGATCAAGTAAACCTGAGGGCTGCACCACGAAGCAGGTTTGACATGTTCAGGCTTTCTTTGTGTCAGTCGGCTCGATTAAAAACTAAAGTCTGAGATAACGGGTGTCATGAAGGTTAGTATCAGCTGTCTTTGTCAACTCAGACTTCCTGCTTCAGACTCTGTTTACATAAAAAGGCGTTTAACGCGTCACGTGACTCTTCTTGTTTGACTCCGGTTGTTTTAATGGAGAACAATGAGGAATGTAAAAGTTAACGACCGTAAAAAGTGCTGCTGCTGCAAATGGTGCAAGACAGAACTGCTGGTAGAAAACTGTCAAACATGTTCATATATCATGTTTTACTGATGCAGCCGATTATTTCCAACCCACAGCTGCACGTTAAAGCTGCTTTGTATGTTTAAACCTGATCTTGTATTGAAGTACATTTAGGTCTGACTCTGTCCCATAATGCAGGAAATCACTTTAACTTTTGGCCCAATCGGAGCAAAATTAATGATTAATGATTGAATATTCTCTGTAATAAACACCAGTAGAATAATCTATTTTCTGTGTTCTATCAGCTGCAGTAGCAGCAGAGTAAACATAAAAACATATTGATGTGATTTCTGCATCGCTAACTAAATACCATAGACTGTATAAAAGATGGACGTAGCAACCAGCCCTGAAAAATGAAGCCGACCTGGAAGTGTCAAAAACCTGCAATATCGCTACGTCTGCTAGCTGCTGGCTCCAAAAAGCCCTGGCTCCCATAGACTGGAATTGGAAAAGAAGTGATCACAGATCATGAAATACTGCATTCCTGCAGCTCAGGATGTTTTTCTTATTAGTTTTCATGGTCAAATCCAGAGATCAGGTGGCCAATCTGAAAATAAATCAATACTGGATTTTTAAAAAACTGTCAACATTTTACGGAGCAAGGGGCGTGGCTGGCTTGATTGACAATCGGCAGCGACCACACAGACGAAGTGAGCAGAAGGCGGTAAATGTGGGCGGGGCAGAGAGG